TTTTTTTTTTTTTAACGATACTTGATTAATAAAATATATTAACGATACTTGATTTAAAATTCAAATAAAAATAAAAAATATTTAATGTTTTTTTAATGTCATTAATTATTAACAATGACTATACATTTATGTTTGATTAATTAGTAATTATGAATACTAATAATATTAACTTTAAAATTACAATATCTATATTATCAATATATAATCTATAATCTATAATATATATATATATATATATGTGAGATTATAATAATTCTTATTTGTGATTTTTCCTCATTCTATGTTTTAATACTTTATATATTTACAATTATTATATGTTTAGTTTAATGATTTTTCTTATTACCGCTACCTAATAATCTATGATGATTTCAGTTTCTTTGAGTCTTCTCTATTTACTCAAGCTCAATTATAATATATACGTTTAAATATATTTTTAATTTTTTAAATTTAATGTAAATTTATTTTTATCTCTTAAATTTAAAATTATTTTTTTAATCATGAAATTTTTAAAAAACTTGTTTTAATCTCTAAGAGACCCAAGCAAGTAGCACAAGGGTTTTAGGCCTCCAATGTTTTTTTAACATTAATATACTACTATAAAATTAAAAATACTTAATTTTAAAATTACACCTAAAATAATTTTTAATTAAAATTTTAAAATATTCTAACTGACTATGAAGTTTATATTGGTACTATAAATACTATTTAATGAATAATAATTTTGAAATTTCTCCTAATCAATAATAATATTTTTTTTAAAAAAAGATATTAAATAGTTATTTTAATAGGTAAAGAAACTCTAAAACCCTAAAACTGTTGAGACTGTCTATGAATGGTAGTATGAAATATTTATAACTTAGAATGAATGGTTCAATTTTTTATTCTGTCAATGCATATCAAGTTTAAGTAATTCCTTTCTTTGATTCTACCAATTTCAAAAAGTAATTCCTTACTTAAAACTAATGCCACGATCTACAATAAGAGTATCATACGGGCTGACCTTGCTTATCATAACTATATCATTTATGTTAAAATTAAGTTATTTTTTATCCCAAAGAAAAAAAGTCGAATTTGGTAATTTACAACTGCGTTATTTAAAGTTTTTACCAGTAGGTAATAAGTTTTTTTTTTTTTTTTCTTGGAAAATTTATTGATTTGATTTTAAAATATGAAGTATTTTTTAGTTTTATTCCTGAGCATTTCTTTAAGAAAGATGTTTATAACACTCTTAATTTCTAAGATACTTTTTTTCAAACACTTTTATTCGTCAACGTTGATTAGGAAATAAAATTTATTTTAGATACAGCTTATTATTTAATAAGTTTTTTATTTTGAGTTTATAGTTTTCTATAAATAAATATAGAATGACATTTCTATTTTACATCGGTGACCTCGACTCCGATTATAAATAATATTCATTTTAACACTTTAATTTGTGTAATGGACAATCATATATTATTAAATATAATTAAAATTATAATAAATTATATATATTTATTTATTTATTTTTAATATACAAATTATATTTAAAATTAGTATACATAAATATTTTGAATATATAAATAATATTTAGATGTATGATAAATAATTTATATTATTTAAAACTCAAATTAGATAAGAAATTTAAAAAAGAAAGTCCCTACAAATCTTCTTGCTGAAGAAATACTTCTACAAACACTGTCGTGTTAGATAGATGTATCATTGTATACTTTTATTAATTAATGTTGATTTTATTAAATTTTGTTATTGTGTTGGTTTTATTGTTTACTTGTTGAGAAATTTTGAAAATTTGGGAATTTTTATGAGTTTTAGTTATTTAGAAGTCAATTTTAACTTGAATTTCATAAGTTCGTTTCTTAAAGAAAAAAACTTAGAGAAATAGTCTACAAAGAAGAGCTCTAGAGCTTAAGAGTTCTTCCTTCTTTTAACATCTCAAATTTTCTAAAATTATTAAAAGGATATTTTGATTACTAAATGAGGTTTTATGAAATATTTGAGAGACTTAATAATTACAAATGTTTTTATTAAATGTTTCAAAATTATTT